AATGGCTGCATCGATCGACATGCAGTTTTCGCCAAAAGGTTCTTTAAAATATTCTCCAGATCATGACGCCCTTGGTTTTTTCAGTTATGAGACAGTTTTGCTGCAAAAACCTAAATTTCTTTATTTCGCCGATCGATTTTGTAGGTCGACGCTTCTGTCTCTGTAATTTTAGAAAATCCGCCAGTTTTGTTTATTTCAAGTCATACTTCCGTACGATATTATCACGCATTGTTGCGCAATACTGAGCACTATTTTAAGTGTGCGACCCGTATAGATCTAGCCTCACGTTTTCTTTTTTTATTTGGTGCTACATTCGACTGTGATCCTTTCGTTTGATGCCCATCATCGCTTTTTCTGGACTCCTTTGTTATTTATATTTGGCGACTTGGAAACACGTGTGCCATTTTTCTCTCGGGATTTATTGCTCCATTCAAGTAGAGTGTAAATATAGTAGGCCAATGACTTTCAGTTAATGTTAATATACCGATCATTCCTTTCATCGAGAGGGGGCCCAGCTAGTAAAGTATAAGTATTATCAGTTGCATGTATGTAATCACTGCTTCCCTTCCACAACTTGAGAACATCGACGTTGTCAAAATCACTCACGGACATTGGACCTTTGAATTTGAATAAAGGTCCACAAAAATCAGCAATTACTAGAATAGCCGTGTGCAGAACACTGAACATTGTCTCAGTTTCATAGTCACGTAAATACCCATTCACCTCCCCCCCCCCCTCCCCACGCCCCTCTTTTCGGGCCACTCACAAAGCAGTAAAGTTGCAGTTGGCACAATTGGTATTAGCAAATACATGTAAGACTTACTTCTTGTGGAGTCTACTTCAAAAAGGTTGGATCTAGAGTTTTTTGTTTTTCTTCTGTATTTTGTTGTTTTGGTTTTGTTTTTTGTTTTGTTGTTGTTGTTTTGTTTGTTTGTTTTTTCTTGCTGTGGGTTTTTAGCCGCTTTTTTTTTTTTTTTTTGGGGGGGGGGGTTCGGAATAAGTGCGTGACTTTTTTCCTCGTCATTTTTACATGTACTGACCCGCATAATCAGGTCATGGCACGAATATGGCATGAATTCCTGGCCGCGAAAGGCAAGGTAGCCAAATAAATTGTTATTCTTTGTACGTTCGCATGTTTGTTTTGTATAGGTCGACTATCAATCATCTTTTACTTTTACCGTTTGGGTCGTTTATTGGTTGTTGTTGTTTTGTTTGTTTTTTGTGTACAGGGGCGGTCTCGGGCACGGGGAGACTTCGGACACGTCAATTATTCGTAAACTATTGAAAATACGCTTTTTTTTAAAAACTTGATCCCATACTGTGTCACTGACTGAAGTGTCTTTAGGCCATTCCCAAAGGTGGGACATTTCTCGTTCTTATGCACAGTAGAATTGTAAATTGGCAGATTCAACAATGTCATGTTCATAACTGTGCCTGATCTACAACAGGGAACTGCTGCTTTTTCTTTCCTAATCCTTATTATTGTCACTTTCCTCTACTTCTTTTGCATGTTTGTCACACTCTTGGGACCCGTTATTTCCGGGGTGCCTTGAAAGTCGAAACAGACTTTGAGCTGTCGAAGCTAGAGAGGTGAGCAGAGTAAGCCTGATTCCCTGTAAAGACTTCTCTGTTGACATTCACCCCTTGGCGCTCATATGACCTTATGCAGTGCGTTTGAATTTCGTCTTCAAAAGCTCAAACAAAGTGCAACACCTGAAGCTCTTTTGACGCAGAAAATTCTGATTTTAAAAAAATAAATCTGCAGACTTTGTTTCCATTATAGCTGTTTTGATTTGGTTGTGATATAACAACGCCTTCCAGAACACCACAATTGTCAGGTCATTTAAGGAGGTGAATCCCCGACGTTACGTCACTCTCCGCCAGGACGTAACGGGGAGCCATGAAACAGCCCATATTTAAGAACACACAAACAAGGATCCGAACCAGACGACATCGCTCAGAGAGAGAAATAGCGATACACGTTTAGTGTTTAGCCAATAGAGCACCTTCATGAATACCGTGCTCTCACGAAACCTAGACGTAAATAGACTCGAAAACTAACGTGGAAAAGAATTATTTTCGTCTCTGTTTATCACTGCAAAAACTAGCTTGTCATTAGGGGCATCAATGAATAATTCTATTTTACAATGATAAAGGGAGATTTTTAAAATTAAGTCAACAAGTACAAATGTGCATGAATAGGACTTGTTTATGATACAGTTGGATGATTGCTTTCAACGATTTCCTGTGGTTGTGAAATACATTGTCAGGCCTCAAACAAAAGGTAGTGATATAATAGCTGTATGCTACGTCGAAGTTTTGTCTCTCAAAAATAATTGGTACATGAAACACACTGTTCGAAGTCACCATTCTCTTCGTCCCAAGTTTCCCTCCCGTTCGTCCGATCTCTACCGCAGAGTGGGGTGGTATCGGAATCTTAGGGTACTTCAGATATGATACTCTGGTGGTAAAACATGATGATGCACAAAGCTGATATCGCATGTCTGTCCCTGTGGTTTTATGCACCCCGCATAATTTAGCAAAATTCGATCATTTTTTGTGACTAATTTCTGATTATTCTCCTTTTTATCATTCCTTGTTAAAATAAACAGAATCGCATAATTTCACATCTTTCGGCTCAGTTTGCATAATTTCAGAATTTTTCTTGCATAAAACGACAGGGACAGGCATGTGGCGACTCCCAAATGGCTAGCAATATAATATTATTAGTGAAACCTTTTTCTTCGACCTAAGTATTGTTTCCGATTCGAGCGGTGAAGCCAAACGAAAAGTGTCCGAAGCCTCCCCCAGTACTACTATCTATCACGTTTTAGCGTGTGCATCGTTCATTGCTTTGTTCTTTTAATATTAGATCTAGAAATCTACATGTCTATCTACTATGTTTTAGTTCCCAAATGACGTCAGCTAAAATTTGGCCAAAATTGACTCACCCCCTCCCCCAGTTGACGCACAAGTACGGTAGGCCTTTTTTTTTTAGCAGTCTGTGGTATGGGGAGATATTGTTAATTTTAGTTCTTATGCCCCCCCCCCCCCCCCCCCCCCCAAAAAAAATATAAAAAAATATATACATATAGGCTATATAATATATATTATATAAACCATAACAATAATACTAATAGTCCAGTTTAACTGTTAATTTTAGGCCAAGCTAGAGGACAAGGGTTTTTTGTACACTATCACTATCACGTTTAGGCGTGTGAGCTGGGTTTTTTAAAAATAAATTGTGTACAGTATTATTATCATGTATACAAAGGAAACCAAAACAGTTCAAAAACTAAAAGTTTTAGTGGGTTGTGTTGTTTTTTTACAGATACTATCATGTTTTAGCTTGGGGTTCGTTTTTCTTGTTTACTTTCATGTTTTACCGTTTTGTTTGTTGTGGGTTTTTTTGTATAATATCATGTTTATTTAAGCTTGTGGGTTGTTTTTCTTGTATTTATTAAAGGTACTTATTTTAGCCTTGGTTGTTGTTGTTGTTGTTGTTTGCTTTTTATGGTATACTCTCACGTTATAGTGAGTTCCATTTCAAAATAAAAATTGTGTTTCCCCTTCTCTTATAAAGTAATTTTCGTTGCAATACCTGTGCATTGTGAGTGTTTGTTGTCGTGAGATTGAAACATCACCCTTATTCGCCTCTTTTACCCTGGTATCGGGTGTTGGCCGCCACGAAGGGCTCTCAGATTGTCGCATACCCATCGGCAAGTTCGGTTCGGTTTGGTCGTCGGGGCAAGCCAGCTAGCTTTTCTTTTCTTTCCTTTTAGGTAAGTGTTTTACCGCGCTCGCAACAGCAAAAGGTCATATGAGCGCGCGGGACATATTAAACATTTTCAGTTGGTAGGAAATTTTGAACTTTGCCCGCGTGGCGCCGAAACCTACTCTTATAATAATTGATTTTAGACCACCAAGGGATCTTAAACGTGCGCAACTTGCACACGGGACCTCCGAGATTTTTCACCCTTGTCCGAGAAGGCTAGGTGTAGATCTTTTCTACTAGACGATCAGGGGTGTGGCTGAAAAACAGCAGTAAAGAGCCAGGAGTAGCAGTAGAAAGGCTGCAGAAAGAGTCAGGAGCCCAGAGGAGGGGGCAGAAAGTGGAGACAAAAACAGGCGGCAGAACATTGTTAGAGAGCAGGAAAGAAGGTGAAAGGAGACAATTTTAAAAAAGAACATTTTTGCGTTGCTACTCGGATTCGAACCCGGGACCTTTGACTATGAATGAAAGGCGAACACCTTAAATAACCTCTAGGCCACGAGAGCCCCCCCCCCCCCCCCCCCCCCCGCTAGCTTTACCTCCATGGAGGGAGAAAATCTACCAGAGTGACACAAACCAAACGAAACTCACGATGACCTTCAGGAACAAACTCGTTTGTTTAAAAGGCCGCGATTCGGGCAATCGATTTGAGGCTAGGGTCTGTTTTGAGAAAGAATTGCACTCGAAAAAGCTTGACATTAAAAATTTGTGCAACTCAACGTCAAATTTTTCAAAACTAAGTACAGAGCAGATAGAACTTAATAATTCTAGGAGGATAGATGGACGATAGATAGTTGATAGTATAGGAAAGAAGGAGCAAATCACACCAGAGCAACCGTCCACCACGTATGGGATTAACGCCCATATCAACACTATTGTCAGATTAGGTTATTGAAAAGGCAGGACCTTCAGTTACTTAAACGTCTGTCCTCAACAGGACCAAGCCAAATGGGTTAAGAACCTTGAAAACTCCATATAAAGGCCCATCTACTGGATGGCCAAGTCAGTGATTTGAACCAGGACCATCTGTTCCATAGTCCAGCATGAGATACTAACTGTGTTAACACTAACAGAGCAAGGCAGACACAAACAACAGAAGGAAAGAAAAGACATGGCACCTTCTACTTCTACTACTAGTGGCATCCTCCAACCACCCGCACGCCACAGAGTTAATATAACTATAACGACTAAAACTAAAATGTAATGAAAGGAACAAAACGAAAGAGTCCTGATTTTTAAAAAAATTCGTTTAATTCTTATCGTCGTCCGCACAAGACTGAGGGGTAACTCTGTACCTTATAGTCAGCCCCACCTGTCATGAAAGTTTAAGACCTAAAAAGAAACTCACACACATAATGTCTCTGGAAACTCTTCGTAGACTTGATGTTCGCTTTCGAACATGTTGAGAAATGTTGTAATTGCCAGAGGTTGATGGTTGAGTATTCCACAACATATCGCAAATAATGTGTGTGAGTGTGTGTTTGTGTGTGTATGTGTGTAGTCAGTAGTCAATAGAAGTCCGAAGCTCTATACCTTATCTATTGCAACAGGAAAAAAAATCAGCACAGCGAGTAGAGCACCTATATAATTATAGAGGCTTTTAGACCAGAATTATCCATAACATGGTCTACTTCTATGACAATTCAGCTTTTGTTCCCATGAAAAGCCTTTCGCCAGTCCCTCAACTTCAATAATTCACAGCGTGCAGTGCTTACAGCCACACCACAATAATGTCGAAAATTAAAATTAAAGCAGAACAGAATGTCCTCAGAAGCAGAAGGTACAACTGCTCCTCATCTTTCTGATGCCACAGAACTCAAAGAGATTTTAAAAAACCCAACCAAAACATAACCACCATCAGGTGTCGCCCCTTTCATGACCACACAAGAAGATAGAACAGACATACATGTACTGCTGTTCATACTAGCTTTTACTAATAAAATAAAGATAAAAAACTGGTTCAATGGTATACCTCGTCCCCTGTAGTTAGTTACATGCGCAATTTAAAGTCAGAATCAGACCCAACAAAGATTTTTCAGTTAAACAATGTCAATGCTTTTCAAACGAACGGGTGGATAGTTCGATAGAAAAAATTCTTTCAAACACGGTTGCGAGTCATACGTGCAACGACAAAAATGGGCTCATTTTGTTTGGAGTCAAGTATACCTCCCATACACAAGGTCGTTTTACAGGATTACGATCCACACACATCCCACCAGACCAAAGACTTCATCTGTAAATGTTCAACCAAGCTGCTCCATACAAGTCAACAGCAGCAAAATCAAACACCAATCTGTCTACAAAATAAAACACCTGTACAGGAGCTGAATACACGAAACGAAATAAAAGAAAAAAGAAATGCTTCTTCTCTATAAACACTACCTAGTAACTAGACCAAAAATTTAAATTAAAAGACTCGATACGCTTGTTATAAAAGACTAGATCTATGAACACGGTACATAGAAATGAGGACACGGGAATAAACACCACTTAATTTTCCCCAAAGGAGAAAAAATAAACAACCCCAATTACCTAGAAAGACCAAACTTCTTCAGGGATATGGGAAGGACTCTCAGTCTCTGCCCACCCTCTGAATCCCTCCTACAAGTACAAAAGTTGTTGAAGGAGAAAGCAGACCAAATTAAATTTTTGGAAAAAAAAATTTTCTTTTTTAAGTGGGGTAAAAATTCCATAAAGATCAAGATACAACCATGAGAGGCAGGAACTTCCACCCTTGTGTCCAAAGGATCCTCCCAAACTTCCCTCAACTCTGTGAAGTCCCATCGTTTAAGAAGGTGTCTAGCTACTGTCTACCACTACCGTGACGTTTTGGCGCACGACTTCCAATTCGTTTTCAAGATTTAAAAGAAGAAATTCGTGAAATCGAGTCGTTCGTGAAATGTTAAAACGAGGCACTATTGCAGTGGGACAAATGACACTGGGTGACTAGGATTGCAAATTCAAGACGTTCACCAAAAACGAAATGGGCAAAACGCGAAAAAGGAAGGGCTTGCGAAAAAAACAAAACCCTGGTGTACAGCAGTCTCACTCAGAGAGAACTTGCACAGTTCCGCAAACACGGTGGGGGGCAAGGGGGGAAAGAATCATCCTGGCCTCGTCAAACTCGTGACTTTTGGCTGAGCAAAATGGAACTGATATGAGACCTTCCTCCTCTCACAATTATGAGAGTTCCACATTTGTCAAATTTGTACAATCTAGTAACGTAGTATCATGGCGGACAGAACATAGTAAATAATGTATGAAACACAAAACAGAATCCAGTATATTTAATTAAATTACTTCCTAGATACAATGTGTTGTAAATAATATTTTGAAACTTACACGACATCACAAGTGAACCATGTCTTGTCATAGAAGAAAAGATGCATCCAGAGCTAAACACATTCACGCTGTTCGCCTTCCTTTCTTACCATTCTCTCTTCCTGCTCCCAAGTCCCAGACAGCCAACGTACCACATTTGTAGTCCCATTGACACACGCACACACACAAACACACAATGACATACTGTGGGAACACACTGTTGTGATGAAAGTTTTCCAAAAGCTTTAACAAACACTTACACTTTACACAAACAACTATCCCCATTCACAGGGAGCCTAACACATGTCAACACACCAAAGGGCAGACAAAGACAAGCAAAATGTACAATCCCGTAATTGCAGCTGTGAGACCACATCACATTCAAACACTGAGACCTGCCGGCACAAACTGATCAATGGCATCTCTTAGTCCAATCTATCTTATCAAGCACTCTGCACATTAAAAAAAAAAAATTTAATCACATTTAGATATGATTAGACTTATCGTTTTCACACAGTACACTTTGCACACTACACTATCATCACAGCTATATATAACTAACTAAATCCATCAAGGAAGCTTTCATGAATCACAAATCGAGAACATTAGTTGTATATTATGTCCGTTCTTCCACAATATTCAGTTCTCTTACACTTTTTGATGCCACAGACAACCACACAAAAACACACATCTCTATGCGTTAAAACCTCAAACAACTCTCCACTTATCTAAATGCAAGCGCTACTTCTGTCTACAGAAATTATGACCAAAATATGGAGCCACTCCCTCATATGTTGTATAAATTCCTACACCAGTATATTTTTTTTACTATGCCCCAGAGTGGGTCTAAACAGGTGCCACTTCTCATCAGAGGTGCAAATTAGCTACGAAAAAGATCCCGTACTGTACGTTCCAGGGACTCAAAATTTACAAATCATGTTGTTTCTTCTATATCTTGTATCAAGCTATTTTTACATAAAGTGCAATATATAACATGCACAAAGAATTAAATTAAACATATAAAAATACAGACAATTCAGAAATCCAAAATTGTTTGTCTATCCAGAACATCGGCGCCCCTTTCTTATATTCTACACACTGTAAAGCTCTGTCTCTTCCTACTGACCATTAGGTTGATTCCACCTCGCTTATTCTACAGACTTCAACATGAGTCAAGAACCACCAAGACAGAAAGCCCTGTTTTGTTTTTTTTTAATCTTAAAAAAAAAAGCCAATAACTTTCAATAAGGAAAATGTTTCAAAATGTTTTGCTCTGAAAGTGTAAATGGGTTAACAATGCATACTGCAAAGCTTCCTAATGTGGCAAACTACAACTTGCAGCACTGGAATCCTCGGAGAATTTTTGCCAAATTTGCAAGTTGTCCTTAACTTATGTTGAAGTCTGTACAAGTACCTTAGTAAACAGTCACAACCAGACACATTAGTTTCCTTATTTAGCTATATTAACCACTAGGAGATCCAAGTGTAGCACACTGAAGAAAATAAATAAATAAATCAGAGATAATTTCTGACATTAGATACCTAATCATACATATATATGGAAAAAAACCAGTAGGTGAACATTGTATTTTATACTTGCTCTCAAAACCATCTCAAACTGGGACTTGGCCCAGAAGCCCACAGTCACAACTGACCTTTTTACACACCTTTCCTTCATTTTAGTTCGAGTTTGAGTAAAGAGAAGCACAGACTCGATAATGGTTATTTTGTACAAGGAAAAAGTAAGACAGACAGGCAAAAAGAAAATGAGAAGGAAAGGAGAGAAGTTAAGAGTCAGAGGAGGTGTCAATGGGTTCCCCCCCCCAAAAAAAAAATTGAACGTTCGGGACCACATGGAAATTCCTTAGCAGGGACTCAAAATTTACAGCACATATCGCCTTATAACATCTCATATCAAGCCAGTTTTCATTTTGATACACCTGCACAAGTTGGGCAAAAACAAGACAACTTCAGAAATCCAGATTTCCGGATTTATCCAGCTAATCAGCATCTTTGAAGAAGTACATCACATCATATCTCAATCTCATCATTACACTAAGCGAATTAAACGTGTGATCAATAAGAAAGAAAAGAAGGTAGCATCAGTTATACCCCTAGGCAGACACAGTTCGCCTCACATCTTCTCATGACAAGAGAGAAATCAATTGTGGGGGGGGGGGGGGGGGGTTGTCTTCCATAAGAAGTACCAACCAACTGGGGTAACAACACACATCAGACTGTGCAAAAGCTCAAGAATAAAAGCCTGTGTAGTGCTGGCAGCTATCTGACGCATAGCATGCACACATATGCAAACACACACACATTCATGTACACTCACAAAAGTAAAATGTACATATAGCCTACTATGCTCTCACACACACATGAATGTACACTCAGAGATGTACATATAATCACACACAGACATGCATGTGCATTCACACAAGTACATACTCGCACTCACACAAGTACATACTCGCACTCACACACGTACATAAAGTCACACGCATGTACGCACGCATGCACACACAAACACGCATGCACACACACACAGGCACGCATACACAAACACACATCAGTGTAGCTATCAGCCCCTTTGGTATGCTGCTTGACGGAGAAGCCAGACCGGCTGCCAGGAACACTGTGTGTATCTCTAAAGGCCGGCATGTCTCAGGAACTGTGCCACAAAGCCCTGCAGCTCTCGGTCAAAGAAGTCCGCCTTGTTCCTGTAGATGACATAGTCACAACAGATAGGATAAGACACACAATCTAGCATAAACATAGAGAAATATGCAGGATGTGGAAATCTTTTCATTAGGTACAAATTTCGTTATGTGCATATATTAAATACTAAAAAGTACATGTACGAGAAAAAATTTCATGTAACATAGATGTGACCTGCGGAAAAGAGTCTTAACACTGACAGAGCCAGGGTTTTGCTTTTTATTTTGTTCGAGGAAGGTTGCATCCCCCCCCCCAAAAAAAAAAGAAAGAAAAAAGAAAAAGAAAACAAAGGAAAAAAAAAGAAAAGAAAAAAATGGTTCTATCATTAACTTGAATTTTTTTCTCAGCAGGTCATCACCACCATGTTATATGTGCCACTGCAGTCTGCTTAATCGTTCATGGAATGGCCCACATGCAACCCAAAACAACCCATCCACTTCATCTGTTCACCTTAAAGACTTTGCCCTTGAAGAAATCTCCTTGATGATGGTCAGTCCTTTGTCCACCTGCTTGACCTCTGCCTCCAGCTGCTGTTTCGTGACATCTGCCTGATGGCACAGCCGGGCAAACGTGGATGTCAGCTCTCTGGGGGGGGGGGGGGGGGGGGGGGGGGGAAACCCACGAAATCAACAACATTATTGCTGAAATTTCATACTGGCGTCTGTGGTATGATGGCCAGGTTTTCTGCTTCAGTTTTGTTGTCACCTCTGGAAAAGAGTTCTACTGTACTTGCAACACAAATACGTTATATAAGTGCCTAAAATCAGAGGTGTTACAAGAGAGTAACATGCTAAGAAAAGAAGGAGGAGAGATGAAGATGATAGATGTTTGATAGGAAAGAAGGAGCAAACCACAGCAGAGCATTTGCCAACTACCAATGAGTGAACTATGTCCGTAAAGAGTAAAGAAAAAAAGCATCCCCCCCTCCCCCCACCCATCCAACCAACCGCACACTCGTCCCTTCATCCCCTTTCTGGTACAGAATAAGGAAATTATTGTACAGTGTAGCTGTGTAAATACTTTGTTCGTATCAATTTTTTCTCCCTTCTCATCCAACCAAACACACACTAGTCCCCTTCATCCCCTTCCCTGGTATAGGATGAGGAAATTATAAAACAGTGTAGCTGAACTTGGGTAAGTATTTTGTTTTTATACCTTTCTTTTCTCCCTTCTTGACAACAAATACTATTGTAAATGGCTTTCAATTTTAAAATTGACCACAATGATTTTAAATGGTTGAAGAAAGTCAGTTCCCTGAGGGTTCTCATAATTTTGTATCGTCGCGCACTCACTGCTGCACTTGGTGGCTGCAGTTAGAGCTTGTCAGGTCGATGATGAGGCGGAGCTTGCTGCTGGCGTAGTCCACGTACTGCTGTTTGAAGGCTCGCTCCCGCGCCTTGCTGGTCCAGGTCAGCCGCTCGTACAGGTACACGCCTCCGTACAGCGCGCCTGTCACCACAATGACACGCCAACCAGCTGCCTTGGCAACCTGTTAAATATCATGTGATAGACGTGGGTTTTTTAAATAACGGTTTTGGAAAGTTTTACTGTGCTTGCAACACAAATAAGTCATACCCGTGCCAAAGATTAGAGGTGTTACTAGAAGATAGCATACAAATAAAAGAAGGAGGACAAAGTAGGGCAATAGATGGTTGATAGGAAAGAAGGAGCAAACCACACTAGAGCACCCGCCAACCACACTAGAGCACCCGCCAACCACAGCGATTTAGTTTTTGTTTTAGTAAAGGTTTTACGGCGCTCGCAGCTGCATAAGGTCATATGAGCGCCAAGGGGTGGATGTCAACAGAGAAGTCCTCACAGGGAATCAGACTTACTTTGCTCACCTCTCTAGCCTCAAAAGCAGAGAGTCTGCTTCGACTATCAAGGCACCCTGGAAATAGTGTGTCACAAGAGTGTGGCAAACACACAAAAGAAGTAGAGGAAAATGACGATAGTAAGGATTAGGAAAGAAAAAGCAGTAGTTCCCTGTTGTAGTTCAGGCACACTTATGAGCATGACATTAATGAATCAGCCTATTTACAATTCTACGGTGCACAAGAAGGAGAAATGTCCCCCGTTTGGGACTGGCCTAAAGACACTTCAGGAAGTGGCACCGCCCCGGGGGGGGTACAGCGACTTAGCTAACGAGCACCCGTTGTTATCTTGGACAGGTTCGACTGTATATTATGTAGCTTACACAAAAAATTCAACAATTACTTTGAAACACATAAATTGAACAAGGTCAGACAAGCCTTAGACCAGACACGGACAAGTGTATCCAAGTCATGGGCTGGAAACTATCAATTTATATTTTCAAAATGAACAGTTTTAAAAATATTTATCAACTCATCGCTGGCCCCATTCATTTTTAAATACTGGATCAAACAAAAACAAAACAAATACAATAAAAACCCTAAAAACTTCACTGCCCACAAGCTCACACAGCGAGAGAGAAGCCAACTACTCACCAGTCCTGTCACGACAGCGGCCCCCAGCGTCGACCGGGAGGTGAGCGAGGCGAAGGTGGCCAGGACGCTGATCAGAATCTCATTGTCGCCGCCCCCCGACGCAGACAGTGGGTTGTCTCCTCCGAGAGCTCCTGCCGCCTCCGAGCTCATTTGTCTACCCCGCTGGAACAGGGAATCTGAACCCTGTTAGAACAAAACAAAGTGTTTTTTTGTTGTTGTTTTGTTTTAAATAAGATAGATAAAGACGATAGATGTTTTATACCGCCAACCACCCACAACAAAAAAGTCACGTTAACAAACTGTTCTTTTCAGTGAAAATAATAGATATAAGCTTTAAAAAAAAAAGGCAACCCTAATTTCATTTGTAGTTGAACTGATGAAAAAGCCTTCTCAATAACTTCTAGACTTGAAATAGTGAGAAGCCCTACCCTACCCCTCCCACACGACAAAACCAACATCCCCCCACACACACACAATGAAATTAAAGCCCCATTACCCTCCCCCCTCTCACACACACACAATAAAAATTAAAGCCTCATTTAGTCCCCCCCACCCTCCCATCCTCAAATAACTCACCTCCAGGAACCGAACTTGGCCCTTGGTGCCCAGGAACCGCTGCACCAGGGCGGTGGGGCTGAGGGAAAACCGGAACTCAATATCCTCGCGGAAGCCTGCGCACAGGTTTCGGCAGTCCAAGCGGTAGGCGATCTCAAAGTCGCGCTTGGGCATCAGGTTGAGGAGTTGCTGTTTCGACTCCTCGGGGAGGATGGCCGACAGACGGTCTGCATGTGTGTGTGTGGTGTGACAGAGGAAGGAAAGTCAGTTACTGATGACCAATAATCTTCTATCTATTCTCTTTAAGTCTAGGGGCCTTGTCACCGACAATTTCATTTTTTTTCCTCTTATTTACTTGCTTACGTTTTTTTAAACTTTCATAGTTTCAAAGGTAAAGAAGAAAAAAAAGGGGGGGGGGGGGGGGAACTGTTCTCTTACTTTTTTATTTTAGTTTTGATTCGCAAGAAAAAGAAAAGGGAAAGGGGGAAGGTTGTATTTTTACTTTTGTTGCACAAGAAAAAGTGAGGGGGAGGCGGCTCTACTTATCGTCTTACTTACTTTAGAGAGCCCAATAACATTCATTGTTTTACACAAAAAAGGGGGAAGGGGATGTCCTCTTCCTCATTTTAATGAGAATCATATACTTTCATTCTGTCATAAAGGGGAATGGGAGGGGAGGGTCACTTAGTCATTTATTTTCATTGTTTCACAAGGAAGGTGGAAAACTGGGGGGGGGGGCATGTTCTTTGATCCTCTTAATTTATCCCCAAAAAAGGGGAAAAGAGGGTGTCTCTTACTTAGTATTAGTCATTTACTTTTGTTGTTTCATTAAAAAAGGGGAGGCGGGCTCTAATTTGAGTCATTTACTTTCACTTTTTCACACAGGGGCGGGTAAATGAGGGAGGGGACGTTTTCTTTCTTTTGTCATGGACGTACTAGAGCCCTTTCTTCTTTACTTTGGTTGTTTCATAAGAAATGGGGGAGGTGGGGAGGGGAGGGGGGGGGGGGTATTTGGTGTTGTGAACCATTAAGATTGAGTGACATTAATCTAATGAGTAACTTTCCATCCAGAAACAAAACTAATTAACCTTACACACCTCACCAAGAAATGAGTGGTAATGAATATAAAAAATTATCATACAAAATTCTTTTTTTTAAAATAAGCTAAGTTAAGCTTCAAGAATGTATCCAATTGCCTATACAAAAGAACATTTGAGAATTGAGAAAAGGAATGAATTGTGAATTAAATGTGAAAACCACAGAAAGGCTGCCTGAATCAACTATAGCACTTGTAGGGCAATAGAGCAATGGGTTACATATACAAGTTAAGGCCAGCCTACCACATTAAGCTCAAATAAACAAAACGCACATGCAAGGAAGACATACATTTATTTTAACTAGTAAGTGTTAAATATCCCTGGCATTATGTCATCTTTCCACTGAACATCCAGTCACAACTCTTGTAAATTCACATTACTTTGTCAATATCTACAATCTAAACTCTGTCCGGCCTTTACTACTTGGCTGACTGTTTGACCTATAGATAGACTCACAACTGTTACCTTCAAACAAATTTTCAGAACATTTTTATCTTTTATTCACATTTCTAAACACTATATTCAAACTTGTAACCTCACACAGGGATTCCACGCCATCATTTCTTTGAATATATTTAAAAGGTCCACTTGAAGATAAATGTTAATTACAGAGTCTAGGAACTTAGTATCTCTATAAACAAAACCTCTGCATACACAAAGGGACTATGCATTGCAAAACAACTAATTTATTTCTACTGGTACTTGTAAACTTGAGTCTTTAGGGTGTAAACTACTAATACTTATGCAATATAACAAGGTAAAAGGACATGCATGTGGAATATAAGGCATTACTATACATAACACATAGAAGGACGACTACGCTGAAGAAAAAAACAAACCCAAAAATTTAAAAAGTGAGAAGAAAACAAACCAAGTCTCAAAATTTTAAGATTAAATATCAACTGCCCAACACTCTTTAAAAAAAAAAGGTCCAATTATTAAAACATCTCAAAGAGCTAGCAGGTTTCTGAAATTTATTACATTATACTGTACTAAAGAAGCTCACTGTCGGTACATTTATAGAACAGGACATCAACAGTCATACATTTACCAAAAACATCAGTTACATTTATAGAACAGGACATCAACAGTCATACGAAAAATAAATATATCGTTAATAAGAAAGTGGACCCTTGTCCATGTTTGCTTTTGGTGACGTCAACAATCAATTCTCAAGAATGTTTAGTAACCACAAACCTGCAGGAACAATTTTTTACAACTTTTATCTACGATGCCACAGAGAATGGATCATAAAAAACTTCCAGAAAAAAACATCCCCTTTGGGTTGTGAAGAAACATCTTCTGGTCCCTAGGCAGGTTCTTCAGCCTCATTTTTTCTGATCAAAGCCTCTTCAAAATAAACAAAAATTTACAAACTGACAGCTTAAAAGACCCCCCAAAAAAAGTGTTACGTATTCCCTTCCTCCTCAATCCCTACACCATACTGTTGACCCATAGCCGATCAATATGTGACCGCCGTAAAACCGACCAGACCCCGTCACTCAGCCCGTCTGGCCTGGCCTGACCTGTCATTTCTCTCTGTGTCTCTTCTACTGCCTGCACTAGCACACTGGAGCACTTGGCCTGCAGGTTCCTGCCCAAGGTTTGCTCCACGTGGCTGTGGAGCTCCTGGAAAGACACACGCCAAACCAAGGCACAAAAGCAAAGAGAAAATAAATAAAAAGAAAGAAAAAACACAATTTAAAAAAAAAGAAAGATTCAAACAGAGGAGTAATTAGGTCAAAATCAGTACCGTTGCAAGGAGGGGGACACGCAAACAATATGCACACTGGCTATTTGCCAAACAGTCAGAAAAGTAGTAGTATAAAAACACAGGAGATTACGGTGAAGTGAAATTGATAGAAGAGTCAAAGAGTGAGCACTCTGCCTTTTCCATACATAGAAAAGAGAAAATGAATCAAAAACAGAAAAAGCAAACACACACATTAAAAATTTATAAGAGGGTTATATAAAAGGCTGGGTTCAGCAAAATAAAAAATTATTTGGTCCAGAGATTAGTGTCAGTTTGTATGAACGAAGACAAATTGTGACTTTCGGATCTTTCTTTTGATTTAATTTAGCTTGAGTTTAACGGCACACACACTTTCAACACAAATAGGTTATATAAGAGCCCGGTCTTTCCTATTTTGGGAGGACGGCTAGAGATAAGAATCTGCTAAAACACATTGATTAAATCAAGGGCTTTTTGGCTGACCCTAATGAAAATGCACGAACGTACGAATCTCAACAATGCTCCTTGAGAGAAAAGATTGACGATTGAAACGGCGTTGGTCACATTGTCAAGATAGCCCAACAAAACGAACGTCCAACATGATTTGCCATTTCACAGTAAGTCTATAATTCCAAGTTTAACATAATTCAAACTTTGTGTCTGTAACAAAGATCTCAAATTAGCCACTTTCAAAACATTTGTTATCATAAGTGGCATCAGTAGCGTTGTTGCTCCTGTGAAATCCCCTAAAAATAAGCTGATGGCCCCCAAAAAGTTATGTTATTCGAAAGATGGCCGACTGGCTGAACCTATCAGAGCAACAAACTGACATTTTCTGGTTAAAAACCCTGGAGAATAAGGGACCAAATAAACTGCATTGTTATGTGGCATGCATATAGGTAGAGAGACTAGAAAAGCCACCATAATAAATCAACATGCACAATGCCTCTGGCAGACTGGAAGAAAAACTGTGGAACATGTATGCACTTCTTTCCTGCAAACTAGATGGTGTCGATCTGTAATTCTTACATCTGTTATAACACTGTGATTTTTTGTCTCCAGCAGACAACATTCACCTTGTCTTTATCTCTTTGAGGTACTCGCTTTTTAAGATTAACGGGCTTGCCAGCTTTTTTAAATAACCCAATCAAGGATACCGGATGTTACAATATCTGATTATGTAGCAAAGAAGATAATTATATTAAATGGGTGGGACTGGTTTTGGTACAGTTTAAAGAATAGGCTCTCAAATTCCCAATTGCCGAACCCAGGACAGACCTGGTAAATTCAGACAGTCGGCAAGCCCGCATTAACGGTTTGACTCAATGAAACACCACATTCACCACAAAACATTGAGCTACCCTTTTCTCCATTAGCAGATCGACACAAAATATTTTTCTCATAATATGGCAAAAGCCTACAAATAGAGCAGCTTTCAAAATGAAAAAACAAATCAGCTGCCAGAAGCAACCACAATATAAGTAAACAGTGAGTGCAAGAGGGCCGCATACTCCTCAGACAGGTACTGCAAATTGTGAAAATACACAAGAAGGTCTGAACCACAAGCATATTAAGGGCTACGAAAAAATCAACACATTGTATGTTTGTGTTCACAGCTCTATAAAAAGCATCAGCTGTATGAAGGACGGGCGAATAGATGGCAACATGTGTAGTATGAAAATGCTAACGTTCAAATTTGCTGCCCATAGAAGAAGAAGTAAATGAAGTAAACACTTCTAAATAAGTACATTCAAACCTACTTGAACGTCCACCAGTTTAAGTTAGTCACCTGCACAAATGAGCAGGACCCATTCCCCCCCCCCCCCCCCCCCCTTGTTTTTTTACTTTATTATAATGACATGATCCAAGACGTCCAACTGCCTAAAACAACCACTTTTTTCCTCGACAACTGGTGGTCATCTCGGACAATTTCAACTGTATCATACATCATACACTTAGGAAGAACAGCATTTATTTTTACTTTTTCATAATACAAGTGTCTTCATCTATCCACCCTTAAGTCATACAACAGCAAAATAAAAGATTAGGTGTTACACAGTGAGGGTGCTACAATGCCCACAGTCAGACGGCAAACAAGCTGTAGGAGACCCCAACAACATGAACGACAAACAACAATCCAGCCAGTCCCCTCGCGACCACCTGCAAAGCTGTGCTGTAGAAGGTCCGTGTTGCGCAGGATGGGCCCCGTGCACCGCCCGCTCAGGTTCAGGCACAGTTGCTCCTCCACAAACATGTGGAGCTCCTAAGAGAGCCCAGGACGGTACCATCATCACCATCACCATCACAGCAACAGCAGTTGGTGAAAACAGGCGAGACAGAGAGAGGCAGAGATAGGGCAACGATGGAGGTTAGCTTTTTATAATATCCCCTCTCAACACAAGTGACAAAAGCAGGTGACAAAAAAAAACGAGCCTGCAATTCGATGATATTATGAACACAACAAAAGTCATCCTTGAAGCAGGACCTGAGAAATGATGTCTTTATCTCCGACAGGGCAAGGCAAGAAGCCATAACCATTTCCTGTTCAACCTGGCCAAAAACAAATTGGCATGTCGCTTGAATCTGTCATGGGATTTCTTCACTGGTTGATTTGCCTATGATGAAAGTAAATCACTAACCGTAGTCTAGTTTTCACACAATTGGCCAGCTTGTTCAGGCGAAATAAGCTTGAAATTATTACATTTTAAAAAATTGCAGTTTTCTTTATCTGTCAAATCGGTTGTATAAGCTTGAGCAATATTTTGTCAAAATTCAAATTCTAAATGTCAAAAAAAGGTACCATTTTTTAAAGATTTTTTTTCCCTCCTGAAAAATTCTGCTTTCTGGACTTAGCACAACCGAACAGCTAGCCCATATCTAATGAAGAAAGTGGACGAAGAGTCTGAGCTTACTTTAAATTTGGCCAAGTGCAAAAAAATGTGAACACCAGGAGGCTGCTCAGTGCACAGTAAGTTGAAAAAATGGGCCATCATTGCTAGTCAAGAATGAGAACAGGAAAAGGGTCAAAAGACTCCTGCCCAACAAGGCGTTCAAATGCTCTGCTATTACTGGAGCCCTGGCGATTCACTCCACAGCCAAAAATGTTATCAGTGCAACATTTTACAAGGGGTAGTATCTTCCCAAAGTTGTTCCTTCTGTTTCATAATTATTCATATTGATAACATTCTAAAATGTAGCATCCAACATTGCTGTTCATAGGTATTGCTTATAAAGCTCTTGCAATGCACACTGAAACTCAAAATTTGCAGAGATTTTTATAATACATTTTGTACCAAGAATTTTTTATATAAAGCGCAACAATATCTAAAAGATCAAAATGAAGTCGCGCAAAATCCTGACAATTTCAGGAGTCCACTTTTCCAGAAATTTTGCAAATTCAGTATATCTGATTCTTGGACGACCTTTTACCACATCTCCTTCCACATATCCATATCCCTTTTTACTTTTTTCTTTTTTTTTTCTTTTAAAAAGAAATGTATGTTTTTTCTATAAAGTGCAACAATATCTAAATGATCAACATGAAGTCGCGCAAAATCCTGACAATTTCAGGAGTCCACTTTTCCAGATATTTTGCAAATTCAGTATATCTGATTCTTGGACGACCTTTTAACACATCTCCCTCCACATATCCATATCCCTTTTTACTTTTTTCTTTTTTTTTCTTTTAAAAAGAAATGTATGTTTTTTCTATAAAGTGCAACAATATCTAAATGATCAACATGAAGTCGCGCAAAAAATCCTGACAATTTCAGGAGTCCACTTTTCCAGATTTTTTGCAAATTCAGTACAGTATATCTGATTCTTGGACGACCTCAAAGATTGTACGAAACAAGATAGTTCGCTCAGCCAAATAAGTGTCCGCGGAAGTCCGCGCATTGGTTCAGATGGTGCTGCAGTCTTTGTTTTGGAGCTCTCTTTCGTTTCTCCAGAAGAAGAATAGGAAAAGCACAGTTCGTTAGTTTCACTTTTATTGTTTTTCACACAAGTAGGGTAACTCTGTTCGCAAAGTTCGCTCTTTTTCAAAGAGGGCACCACCAAATTTTGAGGATATTTTTTAAATTGGCTCAAAGAGAGGAGTGAACTATCTTGTTATACACGATCTTTGACGACCTTTAACACATCTCCCTCCACATATCCCTTTTTACTTTTTTCTTTCTTTTCTTTTCTTTAAAAAAAATTTACATTTTTTTTTTACCCCCCATCAACTCAATTTAGATTATTTAGGAAGCAGGCTTTGACCCTGCCTGTTGGGGCCAGCCCAGGCTTAGAAAAATACAATACCCCATCCAGCAGAAAGACCAAGACACTGTTCTCCCACACAAGAATTGAACTCCGACCTTCTGTGTGCGACAGTAAAGCGCCTAAACACTACAACATACACCCCAGTCGCACGCATCCTTACTTAATTTTTCAAGAACCAAAACTCTCATACCAAAACTATTTCCACCAATCAATTCAGCTACAACCCACACCACAAGTTTCTGATCTGGCCTTTTCATGATGGCCAACCTGGCAGCCATTGCCATGTCAAGTTGGCAACTTTGGCAAGCCCACGGGCTTCCCAATATGGCCACCATCTCTCCGTGGATACACGGAAATCAACAATAGAACAAGTCAAGTGTAATGTCTTTAGTAAGTAAAAGGAAAAACCAACATCTGTCCCTGACAACATCTGATGAATATAAAAAACTTTATTCAAACCTCTCGTTGAGTGGACTGTTTGTGTGTGTGTGTGTGTAATATACTTTTAGTAAGAGTTTTACATCACTTGCAAAACACAAACATAGGGCTGCCAATCCAAGAGCCTAACAACTGGATTTCTGAGGCAACGAACACAAAAAACTCAACATCACCTACAACAACCTGTCAGCCTTTCCCTAGCAGTATGGATTTGTTCCAACACTTTGTGTGATCAAATGGTATGTGACTGCTTCTACAGACACTTCACTACCCAATATAATAAGTCGCAGGGCTGTTCTGATGGCACAAAGGGCAGATACTGAGGTTTAAAAGTCTGAAGCCGCAAATTAATCTCAAACAAATCTGGATTTCAAAACTGCGCTCAGACCCTATCATGTTTCAAATGCAGTAGGTGCTCTTTTTGTCCAAATTCTTGTCTTTCCGAAGAAAATACCTGCAACAGGGTCTGAGAAGTTTCAGAAGCACTCAATGATATTAGATTGACGATACTTTACTTTGCTTCACAAAAAAAACACACAAAAAAAACCCAACACAGCTACTGATGACACATGAAGCAAGCACCCCACCTTCTTGTAGACATTCAGCAGCATGGCATCAGGATGGAAAGGTCTTTCAAATTCTTCTACAAGAACAGACAGCCTGCGGATTTCATCATTCAGGGCACATGAAACCTAAGGGAGACAAAGAAAAATATGTGTTCCTTTAGTAATAATTTAAAAAAAATTGAAATTCAACTTTTATTGGTCCAGGATATGAAATCTGGTTTATAAAAAACCTCCAAACATGAATACACGCACAGAATAACCAGAAAAACACATAAAACATATATACTGCATTACATTACATAACAAAGTAGAAGAATAAAACACAGAACCACAAACCAATCAGATACTACCACCAGTAACTGAGCAACAAATGAACAAGACTACTTATTACCTTTGTGTCAAGTCCTCACAAGTTACACAGAAAGTCAAGAATAGTCATACCTGACATTAACAGGTGCGCCCACTTTTTCAAAATTCAACTAATTTCAGATAATCTATATGAATAAACAATATTACATAGAATTAAATTGATTTTGAGGCATGTAATAAAGCTCTCAAATTTCTGATTGCCGAATCCAGGAAAGTCCCCGGAAAATAGGGGACAGTTGGCAAGTCTGTATCCACATCACTGGCTGCAGCCCCCAATGTCTGCTACGAAACTAGAAAAGTATTTCTCTGTCCTCATTGGTCAAGAAAGCTCCCATTGACATTGGTAGCATGGCTCTGCCCACACTCTCCATCCTCCTCCTCCCACCCCCTCCCCCCAGGAGAAAGAGGAACAAAGAAACTGATTTTTCACCACTTTATCAATCAACTATATCTGGAATTTCAATTCAAAGTGTATTTTCACAAAATAATCCCACAACTCTGAGGATTTTTACTGGACATGCACCCCTTCTCAAAGTCCTGGTATGTGTTTTTGTTAAAAAAGTGATTTTCGCCAAAACCCTGGGATACAACTACTAACCCTGACAAATAAGACATGTTAGAGTACCCAGCACCCCCATGAATCACTCCAGGTGATAGATACCTTGCGCTCCACGTCCTCCACCATGGCCTTGATCTTGTTCTTGACCTCCCCGGTCAGAAGGTCAAGCTGCCTGTCAAGGTGTGACAGGCGGTCAGATTTTTCCTTCCTCAGCTGCATCTGCTCGTCCCTGAGGACAAGACGAAGATTTTGCATTGTTTCATGGTTGCAAGAAATACAGTTGTTTTTTTTTAATAGGGGGGACTGTCTGAATTCAAGCGTATCTGGAGAGCGAGGAGAGTGTGTGTGTATGTGTGTATGTGGTTTTTGAGGGGGAGAGACAGAGAGAGAGAGAGAGAAAGAAAGGGGTGAGGAGAGAGAGGGAGAAAAAGAGAGGGGAAGAAAAAAAGAGAAACGATCACTATTGGAACCATATGGTGCTATATTTGTAAAGCAAATTGAACATTTTCTTACAGGTAGTGCTCAATATCAGTGAGATAAATTGATAAATAATATTATTATTCTTACATAATTATTATACTAGAAGGCAAGCTAGAAGGGACAAGGGGAGTAGGAAGGCGGAGATTATTATGGACGGATATAAGTCACAGACAGCACAATAGTAGGAACAGTGCAGCACAGCAGCTAACAATTGCAGGCTTGCTAACTTTTTCAAAATCAAATAAGGAACACCCAACGATATTACATCAATTACATAACACCCAGATATATCACATCAATTACAAAATCACCATCATCATCCGGTGCCTTGCCGACTGGTGTGGGCGATCATGGACCTCCACTTCACTCTGTCTTGCATTGCAGCAACAGTGTCTGATGTTCTTGCTGCTCCTAGCCATGTCGTCATCTTGTCCAGTATCTTGTCCCTCTTTCTGCCTCTGCCTCTCTTTATATCAAACTTGCCTGTTGTTACAATTTTCTCCAATGCTTTTTTCCGCATTGTGTGTCCGAAGAAATTTGCCTGTTGCTTTCTTATATTCGTCATAAGCTGTCTTCTATAATTTGCTTCAACCAAGACTTCTTCATTTGTTTTTCAAGCTCTCCATGGGATACGTAGCATGCGTCTTATGAACCACAACTCTGTCGCCACATTTGTCCAAAATTACAAAATAACTAATGCAATTACATTTCTTCACCTCAGAACTATTTTGTCCAAAGTGCCTCATTACTGAGGTACACTTTGGACACGCATCAACCACCCAGTTACTGGCTTGGAAACACACAAACAGGTACTCAAAATTGACCGATCATATTGTCTAGTTCATCTTGTATCAATAAGCAGGGAAAAATCAAAACAATTTTAGATATCCAGAATTTCCAGACTGATCTGGGAAATGGGCACATTTGTACATTACAAAGACAAATCACTCACTGGAGACTAAGTGACTTTGTGTAGGCCTCCTCCATGACGGTGCGTAGCTCAGAGTTGATGTAGTGTGCTCGGTTTGTGTGCTGCTCAAACTTGGTTTTCACAGCCGATTGAGAAATGCACACCTGATGGTAGAGACAAAGAAACGCATATATTTCTTTTGAGTACTTTGTTTGGTTAAGAGTTTTACAGCACTTGCAACACAATTAGGTCATATAAGTGTTGAAGACTTGATATAAGAGAGTAACAAACATAAAAAAAGAGGAGAAATAATAATGATTGATGTTCAATTGGTAAAAAAAGAGTAAACCATACCAGAGCACCTGCCAACAACCCCCATTTTAATTCTTCATATAATAAAAAATTTCCTTTCACCAGAACTGACACGTAAAAGCAAAATTTTCGTGGCACAGGCTGAACTAACTCGTCAATAAAATTAAAAAGCCAGATAAAACCTCCTCCCTCTCTTCAAACAAAGATGAAGCCAATATCATCAGCAACACAAGAGTGTTGAGTGGAACAAAAAAGATTGCATTCACAAGTGCACTGGTTAAAAAAGAGATGATGAAATAAACAGCTGGATACATTTGGAAACACTACTGATCAACAAGAAAAAAGTCAATTAAAAAAAACAAAAAAAAACTATTAAAACAAAAAAAACAATTAAAGAAAACCCAAAACCATTTCAAAAAAAAAAAAAGAAGCAATACAAACCTCAAACTCTTTCTCAAAGTTTGCAAACTCAAACAGCCTGGCCTGAAACCCAGGTAGTAGCACCCGCTCTGGAGGAAAGAGAATAAAAATAAGCATTCAATCTATGAAAAGTTAATGAAGTAATTCTTTTTCCTTGTAAACACTCCATAAAACTTTGTCGCAACCAAATCAAGGATAACCAGCACCAATAACGCCAAAGCATAGAGTTACAAATTTAAAGAGATAAAGCATAGTCAAAATTATGCATATTTCATCATATGCATATTGCTGTGTATAAAAAAACCTGTCTGACGAATGAAATTGGTTGCTTTTAAGGACAAGCGGGCTAACCCAGATTTCGGGGGTTTCCAGAAATCTTGATCTACACCAAAAGTGGGTGCTGCCCTACCTATAGGAGAAGTTTGGTTTCACTGGCGTGTATATTTGTTTGGTTAAAGAGAAAACTCTCCTTCTTTTTTAACTAAACTGAACAAGGGGCAAAAACTTTACCTTCATTTTTCTCATAACAGCATTTTTCGGGATAGCCCCCTTGAGCTTAAAATCGACCAATTATACTTCTTTCTAAGAGTGCCCCAAAACAGCACTTCTTCAAGCATTGTCGAATGGCCAGAATGCGTGTCCTCAGTGAGTTAAACCATAATTTCTGGAAGTGGGATAAGCCACCATCCACCCACCTGGTGTAGCAAAGACGTTGTCGTTGTTTAAACGACTGGCCAGGGCCTCTCGGGCCGACACAAAGAAGAGCCGATCTTTTGCCCCTTTCTTGTCTGTGACTTTTAGTTCCTCCGCGAGAAAATCAGAGTTCCGATCTATGTGTTGCTGCTTTACCTGAAACATTAAAAAGAAGTGATTGCAGATTACTCGTGCGTGTGCGGGGGGTGGCGGGGGCTTAGTTTAGATTGAGTAAAAGTTTCATTGCACTTGCAAAATCAAAAGGTCACATAAGTGCCCAAGCTTGGAGACTTTACTAAAAAGTAATGTAAAAGGAAAAGAAGGATGGACAAGGACGACTGATGTTTGATAGGAAAGAAGGAGCAAACCATTCCAGAGCATCCACCATCCACCCCCAGAGGGAGGGAGAGAGGGTAAATGTCTTTTTGATATGCACATAATTGTAGCCCTCTCAACACAAAAAAGTTAAGATGAAAAACACAGAGAACCAAGATTACAAAAACACAGAGAACCAAGATTACAAAAACACAATTTAACAGGTATTAAAATTCACGCTGATTCCATAAATCAATCTTTTCTTGGAATAAATACTGGTCCAAGACAATTTCATATTTGCAGAAATTGTTATTGACAAGCAAACATAATTGAATGAGATACAGCACAATATTATGAAGGAAAGGTTAATTTTACTTTTTCAGTGAATTGGTCTTTTGTACAATTGGTTGTCCTATATAAGTGGTGAAATTGGAAATCTGTCCCCGTCGTTTTATGCAAGAAAAATTATGAAATTATGCAAAATGAGCCCAAAAATGTGAAATTATGCGATTCAGTTAATTTTAACAAAGAATGATAAAGGAAAATAATAAGAAATCATGCAAAAATTGACCAAATTTTGCTAAATTATGCAGGGCGCATAAAACCACAGGGACAGGGAAATGTTCGTTTGTACAGGTAGTTGTCCCATACAGGTGGCAGCTACAGGAGGTTCGACTATACTACTGTCATTATAATTTTTTTTTTTTTTTAAATATAAAAAAACGCCCACTGGGAAGAAATGGGGAATGGTAGATTTTACAGGTGACCGTCTCATTTAGGTGGCCATTACAGCAAGTTCAATTCTACTTGCAGTATAGGTCATTACCTGGTCAATGTCCTCCTCCATCTCTGACACGTCCCATCTGTTCTGTAGGATGAAGATGTTTGGTTTGGACAGCTTCTCGCTGACTTTGTGGAAGAAATTCTTTTCCTGTTCAGACCAGAAGAAAGAAAAAATAAAATCGCTTAACGCAAAGAACCAAAGAGCACCATACCAACAACGAACTAATTCGCTTCAACAAAGTTATTTTTTGGACTAAAAGCTTGTTGAAAGTCAAGATTCAGAGGGCATCCCTCTCTTCTCAAAGTTATGTTGAGCCTTTAAGGCCAAGCAAGTGCTCAGACTGCTAGAATTTCATTTCTAAAAAAGGGGTCTGAGTAAGTACAAATGACCATACAAGGAGCATATTATTATCTTCTCCAAGAGTCTCTACAAACTTAACACATGTCAAATTTCACAAAATAATAAAAAGGCAGAGGTGCCAACTAGCTATGAAAACCAATCCTGAACTTTTTGGACCTCACAAAAACATTTACCCATCCTATTGTCTAATGCATACACTAACACACATATATTATTTATTATAAAATGCAATGTGATATGCAAAAAGAGATTAAAATATATATAAGTGTATAAGCAGGGGATAATTACAAAATCCGGAGAATTTCAGAAACCCTGATTTCCAAATTTATACAGTAAATCAGCTGTTCTTAAAAGAAAACTGTCAGAAAAATAATTACAAAAAAAATCAACCAAAAGAACAGCATACCGTTTGCATAAGTGTTGACTCTGCATTTGCAACAAGAACAAACACATCCGCATCTACACAAAACTTGTCGATCCAGAGGTCGAGATCAGGGGACACATCAATTCCAGGGCTGTCTACCAAAACTACGTCTTCACGTAGGAGTCGACATTTTTCCTTGGGCCACAAAATTCGTATTAGAGAATTTTCCTGAAGTTTCACATCACTCAAGGCACTGGCAAGCTGCTTGATATCCTAAAGAAAGAAGATTTGAAACAATGAAACAAAAATTCAAAGAATTGGTCAACGGACAAAATTTAAGTAATGTACAAGAAACGACACAAGTTTTAGATATAATCTTCTCCAAGACACATAAAAATGGGCTTCACTGTCTAACTACACTCTGTGAGCACACACAGCCACAAGAAACAAGAATTCACTCAATTTGAAATAACAAGGGCCAGGACAATGGGCAACAAAAAAGACATTGGAAGGGTGAAGGAAGAGGTAGAAAACTCCAGGGCACCCAATAATCCAAACCCTCATATTTGTCAGTAGGAGGTGAGAAGAAGGAGAGTTCACATATATCTGTTAGGAGGAAAAGGAATAGGAACAGGAGGAGGAGGAAAACCCACATATTTGTTAGGGGGAAAAGGAGGAAGAGGAGGATACCCACATACTCATCAGGAGGAAGAGGAGACCCACAGCAAATTTTACTTGCAAACAAGAGACATTGCTTACAGTGATGCTCTTGGGTTTATCTGTATCCTCAGTGAGAAGGAAGCCATCTTTGCTATCTGAGCCTTCCACCTGGATAAAGCAGTGTGTGGTGTGACCAATGCCGCTAGGCAGAATTTTGTCTCGTAACATGGCATTGATCACGGTGCTCTTGCCATTTGAAGTCCTGTGGAATGCAGTCAGAGTAAACCTGAATTTGAACTTACAGTGAACTTGTATTTTGTATGCAAAGGTAAATTTCACAGAAAACCATAAAACATAGTTGGCTAAATAAAACAACCAACTAGAACAACATTTTTTTCAACCCAGCAAAACAACCATACTATCATTTGTAAATTTAAAAAAAAAAAATTCTAAGGGGGAAAAATGACTACTCAATTGAAATTAGAAAGTGTGACTTCTAGTTGTCAATTTCAACTCCATTTAATACCCATTCGAGTTCTGTTTCATAAGTTATTAAACTTCGATTGTAATGAAAAGGAAGTACAAACAAATAAGTACAAGAGTAAAACAAAGTCATTCAGGGTCCTCACACCAATTGCCATCAACATTTGAGGATTGGGCAGGGCATAGAAAGGCACTTCACTAACCTGCCAAAAAAGACAACTTTCATGTGGTCCCTGGCAAGAACCTCCGTGATGCCATCAATCTTCTCACAGAAGCCGTGGACAACCTCTGAGTTCTCCGGCCCCACAATGACAGAACATTCCGGTACACTGGTAACATCTAGAGGAACACATAAAACAAATGACTCTGCTGACACAAAACAATATAAGATTAAATGTCAAAATATGTCAATTTTTATGTATTAAGACATTGTTTTTTTAACGCATGTGAGTGCGATTTTATTTTTTCAACGTTAAGTTTTATCTTTCTGGCCCCAAATCAACTTTCTTCCCAAAGACACATCTGGTCTATGACTTATGACCTAAAATGAACTTGTTTTCTCATGTCTATTCAGGACAACAATATATCCACATTCGTTTTTCTTTTCTTGACATCTTGGGTGTTTTGACACATAATCTGGTCTATGACACAGCATCTTTCCTCAACATGTTTGCCAACAGTACCTATCACTCTCATGCCCATTGCAGAGGCCAGCAGGGCCAAGCCAAAGAAAACAATACATTTCTTCCTATTCATCATATGTTATCAAAGGCATTGGTAGCAAAAATTCTGTACAGCTACAAAAGAGGATTCACATAACAAAAACGAATACAGTACAGAAACACAAATGCCTAATACAGCCATTCTACAAATTAAATGATAAATAATCTCTTACCCTGAACAAATTTATCAGCTTCTAATACATATTGGCCGATGTTACGAAAAATGTCATTTATCTTTTTTTTTGCATTCACAAAAAGCTGAAGAGCTGACTCTTGGTTGTGGCCATTGCCCAGTTTCCTGTTGCTGGCACCAGTCTCAGCATCTTCGTCATCCATACTGCGATGAACCATTCCTGACATGTCACGATTTCATTGAAGAGCAGTCTTTGTCACCAAAATTTCAGCAAGGTAGGTCAACGTCGTAGGCTGCAGAAATGAAAACAATTTAGGAAAACAATTTTTCCAACAATTTATGTGAAAAGAGAACAATTGCACCTTTAGTTTCTACCACTGAAAATAAGCTTATCTTCTCTTCGAGGCTTTATTAATTTCAGTTCTAAGAAAGTTTCCTTGCAACCATTTATAACCATAAAAGACAAATGTGTACGTAAAGTATGTGTGTTACAATTGTTAAAAAGAATGACAACCCACTTTAAAATAAAATAAAATCATCCTTATAAAAAATGAAATGAACTCATTTAAATCTATAATAGGTCATAGTATAGAGTCACATGGAAAATGGGGACTCCGAAGATGGTCAAGTGGCACTTTACTATAATTCAAGTTACCCCAATTATTACTGGTGATAAAATTCAAATTAAAGGCGATGTCAATGATTATTGAAGGGAAGAGGCTAGCCATACTTAATGACGGCTAGACTGCCAGTCTAGCCGTACTTAAGTATGGCTAGACTGGTTGGCTAGCCGTACTAGTACGGCTAGACAGCTGGGCTATTATTCTTAATAAGATGGCTAGACTGACCATAAAAAAAAAATAGGCCTACTGAATTGTAAACGAAGTGGCTAGCCGTACTTAAGTACGGCTAGACTGAGAGTCGATAGGGCCAAACCTAGATCTAAGTACGGCTAGACTATCAGGCTAGCCGTACTTAGCCACTTCGTTATAGAAGGTCTATTATATTATATTAATGATGAAATTGAAGTTGAAGGGAAGGAGAACCAGCTCTAGAAGTGTGACGGAAGGTCTCCTTTTACTTTTGTAATTGCAAAACATGAAGCTACAGCAAGCACCTAACACACCTCTGTGATTGGTCAACATTATATATAGTATTTCCGCCATCTGACGTCAAACAAGATGGGCGCCGCACCTAAAAATAGTTTGCGTCTTTCAACGTTTAATCGCATTATAATTTAGTGTCAATATCAATAATATAATGTAAGCAGGGTGGTAGATTAATAGAGGTAGATCTAGTTCTACTAAACTAAGGGAAGGACTTCCGTAACGAGCGACCACCCCATCAAACTATTCAACAAACACAATAAAGAAGAGGCCTAACCCTTACCGTCCCTACTCCTACTCCTAACTCCTACTCTACTAAGACTCTAGCCCTCCAATCCTGCTCTGTCTCATAGTGGTCGCTCATTACGGAAGTCCTCCCAAACTAAGTGTCATCATTTTCATTAGATTCTACATCTAGATCTAATTAATTTAAAACCGAGTTCATCATGGCATCGGTGAAGTCGAAGTGACCCAGTGTCACACACTACTGTCACCGTGTAGCCGTAGCCGTAGCCGTAGTGTATCTCAGTCTGTCTCAACATAGAGATCTAAACACAGCAGGGATAGCTTAGAATCACCTAGCCTAGATCTACCTCCAAATCAAAAATTAAAACACACCTATCCCAGGATGACATCAAGTGTAATAACGGTGCCTACCTGGATAAAAAGTAAATTTGAATTAATTTGATCTACCAAAAAGTCTGCTATGCTATGTGTGCTCTCGTAATAGCTCTCTCTCTTCTCTACCTCTTCAATGACTTTCACCAGTTTACAACGAAAAGTACCGGAAGTGTGGGAGAAACAGTTGAAATTAAAAAGTTTGAATGGCAAATCTATAAGTTTGTTTTGTATTCTTTCTGCATTGTGTTTTTTAAACTATCCAGCCATAAACAAACTGACTTGCCCCTGCCTGATTGACAGTTGGAAAACAAAAGCATAACAAAAGATCAGTTTCTTTTTATGGAGAAACCTCGAGGACATCCTCTTAAATCCTGTGCTTTCTCTTTCATTTTATTTTTACCAATTTTTCGGTCTGTATTTTTATTTCCTATTGTCTTTCCTCCCACGGTGTCCTGATTCCTTTATACTTTTTGTATTTTTAACTTGAACAGACATGATGACAAATTAACTGGCAAGTTGAGGCGCCAGTGTTTTAATTTGTTTGGCTGGATCGCTAGGCCTACTAGAAAAATATAGATCTAGATCTAGATCTAGGCTAGTTAGTAGTAGAGATCTAGTATCCAATATCTAGATTCTAGATTTCTAGAGAAAGAAGGCTCTGCACTGACGGACCCAACTCTCCTAACTGACGACTGACGGAGGCTACTGACGGGCCTCGCACGGCAATGCAACGGCAAGGGGATGAGGGTTCATCAGCGATGGACTTGAACCATGAGCAAGTGTGTGAGCATTAAAATTTGTATGGAAGTGGCTAACCTCACCCGGGGTGAGAATAAAAATGCGATCGACCTCTCACCCAGGGTGAGACTTGCCACTGTTGGTTATTCTCACCCGGTGTGAAACAAGAGCTGTTTTTCCTAAGAAAGTGGCTATTCTCACCCGCCCGGAAGTTCTCGCAAGATCAACTCCTCCCCTCTTCTCTCTCTCTTTGTCTCTTTCT